AAGTATAAGGCTGGCGGATTGCTCGACACCTTAGCTGCGGGCGCAGCTGGGAGGATCGAATTTATATCCCGTTGCTTCCATAATTACTTACGATTAAGTGAATTACATAGTATATCATTAAGCGTCGTTTCGAAATCAAACGGCTTTGTTCGTTTTCTGGATTATTGTGTTTTCTCGAGATTCGAGTCATCTCTCTGGCCGACTCGTCGAGGGTGCAATCGAGATAATCGACGCTTACCTCCAACGAGATTACCGCCTGGCCCGAGGAGAGCTTCGCGAAAGGGGTGAATTGATTTGTACGCGGTGAGAAAAATTCCTTCCATCTAGAGAGAATCTATAAAATAAATATAAATTTTTTGGCTCTGAGCTCTTGGACTAGAATCACAGATGGATATTAATAAGACTTCTAGTTGTATCGTATGAAAACTAATTTTAAAGATCCCGCTCGTCGTAGCTCTGAAGCTTTTATCGACTTCTATTGCGTACCGACGACAAACGTGAATTAATTCGACGTCTCAGACGATTTATAATGCCGCGATTGTATTTATCAGAATCAATATTGTATACACGTTGCAACGTCGGCGTGAAATTATTTGAATAACCTGACTGGCCGTGTTCCCGGTCCACCTTAGGGCGTGGACGTTGAACGTAGCGAAGGTTGAATGCAAGGAAATGAGCCTTGAAATATAGTTTCACGTAATAGATAGATATTCCGCCGCGAGGAAATTGCGCGGTTCGAACGAACGCGATAAAAGTAATGAAGAATTACTTTTAAACGGGCGTGTCTGAAACTGGTTTTCAATCTGATCGAGAGTAATGCGGCGTCCGCGAGCGCCGCGTTTTATGAATGAAAGTCCCAAGTGTCTACCGTTAGTATCTGCCTCCGCGTTTCCATCGCGTTAGAAAAATCTAAATGCCAGCCGGACGGCTCGCCGAAAAAGGAACGACGGAATTCTTATCAGAAATCGCATCGCCTCGCGTCGCCGTAAAGCGGCGACGTTACTCCCTACCGTAGGACTTCACGCATCCTTCGTAAAACTTGAATTACGCGTTCGAATTTATTGCATTTTTTTCTGATAGATTTTTCTCGTACCTGTTGGTCCTAATTAAGCTGATTTTACGAGCGGTTCGTTCTTGCGTCGTTAAACTTTTCCGATGTTGTTAAACGGGGAATCGTTATTTTAAATATGTGTGTCCTGCGACGCAAAAGGGGCAACAAGAAATTGTTTAAATACTGGAGAATGCAAAACGACGGTCGGGGCTACTGACGATAAATCTATTAAATGAAATATTCGCGTTTCTCTCTGTCAATTCTATTATCAAAGACGATATCAGATAAACATTATGGTCTTGCAACCTATAGAATCAGATTTCTCTCATTATCATCGAATCCCACTGGCGCATTTAGCATGCACGTTTGACCGCTTGTCAAACGTATTTGCGCGCGCTGTAACGTATCGTGCGACAAAGGGGTCGGCGACGTTCGCCTAAGACACAATTGGTCGTAAACTTTTCGTTCGAGAGGTACGCATTCCTTCGCGGTTGGCAGTGGTCTAATAAAAATATGCGAACGTTTCAGACACGCCATCGCGGCGTTTACTTGGAAACGAGAGTTAGAAGAACTCTTACTTACAACCCGGTTTTGTGGGACAAATATAATTGATCGAGTTGTGTAACGAACTGCGGCAGCTCCGAGGCACGAACATTTGTTATGATAAGATGCCACGCACCGTCTTTTTCGAACAACCGAGTACGCATGATTCTACATCCGATGTTTACAGTTAGACAATGTCGGTACGCGAAAAATAAATTTATTCATAGCCGACTATTAATCAAAGTGTCTCGGTAGGATCTTCGATCGGCTCTGCGATAATTGACGGTATGAAACGCGAAACATTGGTTAATGATCATTTCCCCATTATCGAGTATCTGACTAGCTATTTGAAAAACGAGTAGCGAACATGCTGTGTAACTATTACCGTATCTCTATGCGGACATTATGAAATCAGTGTAATAAGTATAATATACAATTTTCCTTAAAACATCGTAGATGTGTACTGTATCAAATTCTATGTGATAAACTTCCGTGACTGTCGTTGATTCACGTTCTATTTATAAACGAACTGTAAAGGTATGATTATTCTTTCCTCGAATTGTTTTAATAAGGCCGTATCGTAGATCGCAGTTACTAATTAATTCCTAGATTCTCGATCACATTTATATGCAACACACGAAGTCTGCGCCTGTATCAATAATTATTCAATTAAATCACATAATTGGATAATCACACAGTCTAGTTTTTTTTAAATTAATTACAGTTTGCTATTGGTACACGAATGACGAATTGGTGATTTCACTTTATAAAATGTACGAGACTAGAAATATATTCCTCGTGAAATTCAAGGATTATTCACGAACCAAAGAAGATATACGTTTCTTTATTAACCGTTAATTTTTTCAGTAGTTAATCCAACACGTATTGTGTTTGGGAACGTAGACGATGAATGAATTACGACCGAACACGATTCTCGCCGACGAAGAATTACACGGTACATCTGCTCGTTTAACTCGCTGTAGCTCGCAGCCAATAGCATTTCCTTACTTTTACATTCGCGACACGTTAGCACGCACTTACTAATAACCGAGCTTCGGGCCATATAGCGAGCTGCACGCGGTATACCTACTCTTTCTCTACGATTCACTGATAGACCGTTCGTATGATGCTTCTGAATATCTGATAAGAAGTTTAACTTTTTACGTACACAATATTTCGAGTATGGATTTCGTTGAAATAAAATTTATGAAACCTCAGTCAGATGTCCACTAATAATCGAAGTATAAGATTGCAATACAGAATACCTTTGGTTATTTAAACGTTCGACTCACTTTTAATTTTATTGACCTTTGAAATGACGCTTTTGAAACAAGTATCAGTTTACCCAAACGATGTTAACACGTACTTACTTTCCCCACAGTTTGTACTGCATTAGAGGTAGAAAGTCATTAAACGTAATGTACAAACAATTGATGGTATTTAGCGATGCACGTAACGAATCTACAAAGTTGTTTGCCCTTTACATTGTCTTCGTTGCAACATAGTTATTTGTGAATCACCGTTATTAAAAAGGAATTAACAAACACGACATAATGCTGCAATTTACGCTATCGTTCCGTGCGAATGGAATTTTCATGAAAAACAGTAGTAGCATCTTGGCAATGTATTATAATGGATCTCATTAAATATTAATTGTAAAATTGACGAAGTTGCAGCGTTCACGAAAGAAGCAAGTGGATTTGTGTATCTACCTTAAATGCATCTACATTTAATTCTTAATAAATGCCCTTCGAAAGAATTTGTATCTAAATAATTATTACGCTTTCTGACTATAATATCCTACCCACGTGATTCAATTCAAATCTTGTCATTCAATTTCATCCGCACCACATAGTTCCATAAATTGCATAATTTTCAACATTGTTCAACCGACAATTACACCGTATATCAGATAGAATAATATGCGAGTTGGACGACCTCCACCTCGTTGCGAGCTGTGCGCATCGCGAAACAATGAAGCCATTATTTATTACGGATTTTCCAGCAAGAGAATCAACTTTCACAAGGAAGCTGTCCGTAAATTCTCGAAGACACGCTCGCGGCTTCATTATACCCCTTTTTTTAGTTGATCCAGAGCTCGAAGCGATTGACAATCTATTTACGCTGTTAACGCAGACATTCCCGGCCGGGATAATTAGTCACTAATTAATAGCGGCCGCGGCAAAGAATAATGGCTCATTCCCATGGCGATTGCGATCGAAATTCCTTAAGGGACGATCACGGTCATTAAATCTTGGATTGGCCGCGTGTAGGTAAGCATCGCGGCATGGAATGTTTTGTTCGGGACTAAATTGAGGTGGGAATGCATATGATTGCGCGTTGTACGAGTTTAGCCCGCGGCTCGTTATCATTAATAAATGCGCTTTACGCCGGCAACGAGCCTGTCGTGGAAGCACACGCATCGCGCGTACATTCCTTTCGTTGTATCTTAGGGTCGCCTTTTAAAAAAAGGGAGAACAGTTAGCCTGGTCTCTATGCATTATTCCCCTGTACATTACGGTGCGCTACTGTTGCAGCTCTATTTTATGCATAATTCATCGGATTCCAAATGTTTCACATTTGACACTGTTAATTAACACTAGACGTTCTCTACTTTTCCCTCTGAGTATCGTTCGTTTTCTAACATGAATATTTATCCGTCACATTTCGAGCACGTACGATTATTACCCGCAGCAATTTTTTTCCCTCTCATATTATGTATCACGTTATGCAATTTCACATATTTTTAATGTAAATTCATTCTTTCTCCGGTTCGAGCGTAACTGTCGAGCGACTCAATGCGTGCTTAAATCAATCGCAGGTCGAATGCAACGGTCGAGATAAATTACACGTAATAGTGGAAACGTAAAATTTGCATGAAGCACTACTTACTTTCTTAAAACACCGCGTTACGTAGGTCTACGTTTGAATCAGCTTGCGATCTTAATGCTCTTTTTTACCCTACTGTAACGAACGAAACGTTACAAAAGTGTGTCAAGGCGGAACAAAGAAATGAGCATAATGTAACGCTGTACTGATACACTCGTTAATGTATATCTGTACTGTATTAGGGGCAAAATTCATTTGCTACGAGACGAACCATGTTCAGATAACGACGCGATAAAAAAATGTATTCAATATTCATTTCTCTCGAGACGTTCAGATATAAAAATGAATATTTAAAGAAACAGTTATTAGCTCTTAATGATCGACCTTGAAACACTTTCGAACTAATATCTCACCGTGAAACTCTGTTTCCAAGCTAGCCAATTTGGAAATTTGTAATAAACGATAAAAAAACGTTGCTATCCGATAACGATATAAAGTGGAGATGTTAGATACACAAGTATCGATCTCGATCTAACTTAGATTGAAACTAACTATGAAACAATATAATGTTGCTCACCGATTTCGTATGGTGCTCTTTTAATCCAAAAAAACTGTGACGTAACGGGATTCCTTCGTGCCGGTGCCACGAACTTTTCTACGAAATGCTTACGCGTGTCGCGAGATCACGCAGCGGCGAAGAGGAACAGTAAATTTTACGATCCACCTGTCGCAGGTATAATATACGTCACGCACGAAGTTTCGCAGTTTCACAAATTTACACACCGCGGTGATCCGGCTTTCACTGAAGGGCCCGTTGCCCTGTACGATTCAAGGAACTCATGCTCGTCGGTCAAGGAACCGAGAGATCTTCACCGAGAGCCCACAAAAACTCCGGTCCCCAATGTCAACGGTTCGGACACGTGGTGCTTTTATCAGGTTCACGGAATAACTCCGCTCGACGCGTTTATTATTTCTCACCGTTACGTAACCATACAGAGTGCCGACGTCACTAACAGGTACCTTCGTACGAACTCTACAGCCTCCGCGGTAGGATAGTGGGACAAAAATTCTTTCACCGACGGCGTTCACCTAATTTCTCCTGGCCAGCGTCGATCCACGCGACCTTCGGGTGCGACAGCCTCTTTTGTATCACGTCACGATTACGCGCGGTCACCGATTAATTATCGGAGTGAATTCATTTATTTATCGGTAGTGAGGGAACACGTGGCCATCGATCGACGGCACGCGTGCGGAATTCGAAGAATGTTAATACACGTACGTAGGGAATGGATCGACCGACGGTAGGAAGTACGGAACGAGTTCCTCGCCCGCGAAGACGAGTCTGCCATGAGTGGAACGGGTCAGAACGGAAATCGTGGTATGATCTGTACGCGGTATGGACGTCGAACTGGACGTCGAAGCGCGATGCGCGCATGCATTCTCTATCTGCATCTCGAGATTACGAAACGATGATCCGGCGTGACACGTTCTGAACTGTGTCTACGTGCTCGCGCGAGCGGAGATAATTACGTATGCGATCTACGCGCAGAGGGCAAGAGAAGTCGAGGAGCGATCTGGATCGTTCGGTGGGTCAGGAGAAATTTTTCGATCGCGATCCACTGTGTAACTACAACCGTGCCGGTTCGATGCACGCGAATCCGAGGAACGAGAGAGGGAAGAAGTTCGAAGAGAAAGAAAGAACAATGACAGAAGTAAAGGACGGAGAGAATGAGTTCGATTGAATCGAATCGATGGAAATGATCACGTCTAACGGAGATTGAGAGATCGCGCAAGAAGTCCACACACTGACCATCGACGCCAGGTGACGTGTGATTAGAACAAGGTCTTATCAACGTGAGCGTGCACGAGGTACTGAACCGCGGCACGAGGTACCCAGTGCCGGCCCCTCTTTGCCGTCTACCGAAGAAGTGGAGGGACGGACAGGTGCTCCAGCTTCTGTCTGTTCGCCTGTCTACCCGCCTGTCCGCCCGGTCGACGTGTTTGCTTCACCGTTTAAGCTCCGTTCACACACTACCCGCTAACGATCTTACGCGGTACCGGACACCTTCGAATCGTATCACCGAACATTGAATTAAACAGACAGTAACGCACGTCTACGCGTTCTCGGCGTTATTTAAATTCAGTCTCGAGAGATACGGTGTTGCAAGATTCGAGGAATTCCAACCGCAGTACGACACAAGTTTCACTTACAGGATTTGAGAAATTTCTTTCTCATGGTCCTCCGAAGACGTCGCACATGACGTTCGATTCGGCAGTGGCTAGCCCTATGAATAATAAACTAAAACTATAACGAGCATAGTGACGAAGTAGTGACGAATGATCCTGCAGTTGGGAAATTATATGAACATAATTTCTGAATGCACGATCATTGATAGTTGCCCTCTCCTGAAAGTGCATATAGCACTGGGCCTCATCGGCACGTAGCCTCTCCTCTCTTCGGGCGACTTCATCCGACCTGCAACGTACATCTAAGAGATCCCTGAGACGGAAATCATGAATAATTTATAAAGGAGAAATAAAAGTTGAATCGCGGAAGTCTAGAAGCACGCGTAGACCGGACCCGAGGATCATAGATCTGAGGAAGTGTTCTGATCTCGAACTGAAGACTCTATACTCTATAACTCTATGCGTTTCGTTCCGCGACCGCGAGCAAAAGGAAGTATTCGAAAAATCGACACATCAAGTGACAATGAATTTTTTCAACAAACGCATATTTCCTGAAACAGCGGAAACGAGCCTACCCGAAAGAGAGTGTGCCACCCTGTCCGGTCCTACCTACTTAAATTTAAACTCACATACCAGAAACAAGCTACCTACCTACCTACCCTTCATATATTTAAGAATGGCAAAACGGGCACGCCAACACACGCAGAAAGCACGACGGTACGTGCATTCACAGATAACGACCCACCCGGGCGCAAAGAGCCTACACTAGAGAGAACGTCCCCGGGGACGTCTCCGACACCCGAGCTTAAGCAAAATCACACTCTAAGGACATGTATAATAAGCTGTAATCGACTGGCAAAATTAGCTACCATTGCGAATTATATGAGAAACTGAGAATCTATCGACTTTTATATTAAACATTTATCTATAACATTTTGCATGTGTAATTCATTACTCATATATGTTAGAAGAACTGAGTTCATTCCCAGTATCTTAATTAAAGACATGCAATCTATATTTTGTACTGTACAAATGCAGGTACTAAAAAATTGAATAAAACACTGCTTCGAGAATTTAATAATGATAACGAGAAACTTTAGGTATTCTGTAAAGAACACCGACGCAAGTCCGCAGCCTAACCACACACACAATGCGGAGATTACGTCGTGCACGATAGACTAATTCACCAGCCGATGGAGAAATAAATGAGCAATACTTATAAGCTAGGGTTATCGTGTCTATCGGCTATCACCCATCTCAAGTAGCACCTGAGCACGTGAGTGGGATCCTGCTGAGTAAACACGGAAAGGGTTAAACCTGAAAATCCTGATCTAAAAATACACGATTACTGAATACATACCACATGTTACTTTCAATCAAAATTACTCTATTTTAATTTCATTTAATTAACTTCAGAGAACTCTGAATATTAAAACTCTGTGTAATTAAAGAGAGACTCTAAGCAAACTTTAATTTACTTAATACAACAAACGAAGACTTGAATGTAATTGAAACTGAATTGAACTCTCTCAAGATCAAAAATATGTAAAATATGAAATATTCTCTGGAAATCCCATCATCGTAGCAAATTGTCTACATAAAAGTAGAAAGTAGTTCTCATACATTGGAAGCTCTGACTAAAATTTACCCCTATTGTCTTCTCGTACATGAAATGTAAGACGTTTCTTTATGCGGGCTACTAAACGTCGAAACTTTATTATTGCGAACTCAACGTGGTCAGATGGAATCATGCTGACCATGCAACTACCAAGTACTTATTTCTTTAGTCATTGAAAATTATTTTTATTTTTCAATAAAACGTTCGTTTTCAATCACGTTTTCACTAATATTAAATAAATCGCGAGTACAAGAAGCCCTGACCTGAGCTAATATATAAATGAAATATCCCAATTCTACAATACAAAATTGTCACTACTCCCGAGCGTTTATAATAATAATATAAATACTCGGGATCACTATGCTCGTCCAGCAAATATAAAATATGACCAGTCGCCCGTGCCGTTAGGACCTTCGGTCCAGCAGCATGATTGAGCGAACAAAGGAAGTGAAGAGCATACGACTCACTGCGATTTCGTTCGTCGTTGTTATTATTATTTTCATCCTCGGCATCCTGGTCGACAGGAACCACGCACTCGTCGATCGGTGCCAGGAACTGACCATCAGATATCGGAGATGAATCACAAAATCGAAAACTGCGACAGGTAAAGATCAAATAAACATTGATGAAAATTCAAAAACGAAGTTATTTTAAATGAGAAATGCGAAGGTACAGTGTACTCTTGTCGTAGTTAAGCAAACATTTATTTGTTAATCAGAATTAATAGCGAAAATCGCAAAATAGTAATGTATATAGAAACTGTTGATACTTACATGAAGCGACGCATGCGTCGTACACGTTTACACTGGTAACAAAGACCGAAGAACGGACGACGTGAGGATCGAATTCGAGACATAATTCCAACGCTGATATGTCGAATTCCGCAGGAAATACCTGACGCTACGATGCACTTACACAATTACGTACGTACAAAAGGGTTTGAAGATTAAAGTCGAACGCCGATAGGACTAATTACGCAGAAAACACCTAATATTGACTCTCCGACACTACGTACAGGTACAAATGGGTACAAAAGAAGCAAAAGAACAAAATGGCGGGCGACTCCAGCGCCAGCAGGGACTTCAGAATTTATTCCTCGGCCGGAAAGTGGGGACGACGCGATGGTGGGGACTGGTACTTGACGGGGGTATGCTAGGCAAGAGGGGAAGCGAGCCGTGCGGAATAAATTCTGAGATCCCTGAGCGCCAGCAGAGTGGTCACGTGGATGGGGCGCTGAAATTCAAAATTACGCCGCTCTCCACTCTCACTGTAAGTGACATAAGTATGTTTAAAATAGTGGCAGAGATTTTAATTAATCTAATTTATTGTGTTAAACCTTCTGCGAGTTCGATATAAGCGGAACGTGCAAGAGGAATATCAAAACACAAGGAAACTACAAGTAAAATTTTGAAATGAAGTTTATGTATCTCTGAGAGATCTAAGATACGATGTTTACCATGTATGTTTTAACGGTGCTTGTAAACGGTAAACTAGTTACGATATGAAATATCAGAGTAGTCTATCAGGGTACTCTCGTTGAACTTATTGGTGTTATCAATAAATGCGATGTAAATGAGATATGTGATTGAAATCTTCATATTCGTTTTTCATTAAATTACTCTTGAACTAATTTGCTAATGCTCCTACTGTTTTAAAAAATCGCACACTTGCAGTAATTACTTGCAATTAGATTGAAATATCAACAACGCTTGTTCTTCATTTCTGCATATTATACGATTTCACTAAATCTGCTTACATGTGCAGACGATTAATAAATATTAGCATTCTACCGTCATCAGATCTATTAATATTTGCATACGTAGACAAACTAGTCAAGTTGTCCACTCGACAAAACGAGTCTCGTTCTTATCACATTTATTTTTGTTTTCTAATTAATCACTCGATAAACTAAGTGGGAAAAATGCGCGGACTGAAATGACCGTGTCGGAAAAATATTTCTTGATATCACACCCGACACGATTACTGCTTTTAACGTCGCACCTTTCCGCTTATTAAATGTAAACGACGGCGTTGGGAGTCGATCGAACACCTATTTCGTTATTACACGTCTATCACTTTCTAATAGACGCGTCTTGCCGAAGAATTTGAAAAGTCCGTTTGATGGATTTACTAATGCGGCAGTTCCGCGTGAAAAGTGTTAAAATACACGATCGAAACGCGAATGCTAATTTTGATAAATATGCAATTGGCCGACGCGTGTTGCTGCCACCTGATTGCCGATTAAATATTGGATACTTCCTGATAGAAAGTCCGTTTAACATGGAAGATGAACGTTTATCCCATTCCCTGTATCCTACATCGACCGTAACATTGAAGTCGAGAGATAAACGGTTCTCCGGTAATTGATCTCCTCCAGGAATTTTCAATCGCAAGGATTGCGACGATTAACAGTGAATAATAATACTTGTATGTACATACATACATGAAATATTACGTAATTTTTATTATACTGTACCGTTGCAAATTTTAATTTAAGATTAGTCAATATATGATTACGATTAGACACCAAGATAATAGCATCATTTTCATAAAAAGTGCAAACCTTATTGAATGTTAAAAATAAAATTCCAGGCCAACTTTAATGTCTTTATCATTTTCAGTATCTGCCACATCTCTTGAAAATTATTCAGGACGCCTCCAATAGAGGGCAAAGCCTATCTCATGGCCACGTGCAACCGATGCAACTGCCTCAGCTCAGCCGGCTCAGCCAGCTGCTGCCAGCTGTAACTCAGCCAAATTCTGTTTACCAACAATGTTGTGCCTTTTATTTAATATTATAACAGAAACAATGTAAAGAACGCTATAAAGAAAGATTCTCAAGCATCTTCCTACTTTAATTAATACATTATGTAAATTATTTTGCGAAAATTTTATTGATTTAACTGAATATAAAACTATGAAATGTTTGTATGATTTCTTATTAAAGAATTGAGAAGTGAAATGAATTTTAATCGTGTATAATGTTTTGATTTGTACATATACTGTTAAATTTAATTGTAATATAATATCATTAAATAATGAATTTGATGCTGTATTTTATGATCAAGATCATATTTTCGATCAGAACTAACAAACAATGAATTGAGTTATTTATTTATTATTTAAACTAAATGTGGAATATCTGCTATTTTAATTAAATGTAAAGGGAACAAAACAAAACGCATTCCCTGAATAAAATATCTTGGGAACCACATTCAGACTGTGATCAAAGACATGGATATTGTTAACGATGATAGTGATATTGATAAGTACTTCAAAGATAGCATATTTTCTTCAGAACTACTAAATAAGTTGAACAACATTGATAATAATGAATCCAATGGAAGAACAAGACCTACTGCGAGTCAACATAATTCAGGATACAAGAAACTTAAATTAACTATCTCAAAATCAAAGTCTACTACCACAACTAATACATCAACGAATCAAAGCACAGGCAAAACCAAATTAAAGACAAAGAGTACATCATTAAGAAGAAAGGATAAGTTATCTGAAACTAACAAAGAAAATACTAATATCCCTTCAAGTCTGAATCCAATAGCAGAGCAGTTCATTACATCTGAATTATCAGTTCTACGTACTGAAAATAATTCAAATAGCAATGCTACAACAAATGATATAAGTAGAGCAAAATCAGCTAATAACAGTGCCACTATAAACAGTACAGAAAAATCGTTGGAATCACATTCCTCTGTTTCTATTATTCCTACTCAAGATCGCTGTAAATTATCTTCCTGGGGTTTGCCAACAAATATTCTTAAGGTAATCTTTAATACTCTCCTCTTTCTATTTCACGTCGTTAAACACTAATGATCTTATAGAGATATGAAGCAAGAGGAGTGACGACTATGTTTGCTTGGCAAGTAGAATGCTTATCAAATCATAAAGTTATTGAGGAGAGACGTAATCTCGTATACTCAGCTCCAACGTCTGCTGGAAAGACGTTGGTAGCAGAAATTCTAATGATGAAAACAGTTTTAGAAAAACGAAAAAAAGTGATTTTTATCCTACCATTTGTCTCTGTTGTCAGAGAAAAGATGTACTATTTTCAAGTAAAGTTTAATCGTTTTGGAGAACAGTATGGAAATATATTAAGGATAATATCAATTTCACAACTGTACTTCTTTTTCTAGGATTTGTTATCAGATAGTGGAGTTCGAGCAGAAGGATTTATGGGTGGGATTGTGCCTCCCGGAGGGTTTGCAGCAACCCAAGTTGCAATAGCAACTATTGAAAAAGCTAATTCGTTAATAAATCGATTAATGGAAGAGAATGAATTATCTAATCTAGGAGCTGTAGTTATAGATGAATTACACCTCGTAGGTGATCCAAGTCGTGGATACCTTTTAGAATTACTTTTAACTAAATTGAAATTCATAACCATTAAGTAAGAGAAACATTGCTATTCAATATTAAAAAAAGTAAAACAGATTTTTAGAATTACTTCATTGCAGGGATGAGAATGTTAATATACAATTAATTGGAATGTCTGCTACACTTCCTAATTTATCCCTTTTAGCTAAGTGGCTGGACGCAGAATTGTATAAAACAGATTTCAGACCAGTACCCCTGAACGAACAATGCAAGGTAGTTCATAATAAGGAAAAGTATTAAATATACTTGAAAGATAAAATACAGATCATTATACTTTCAGATAGAGAAGAACATTTATGATAATAAATTATGCTATATAAGACAGTTAACACCAATGCCTGAATTAAGTATGGACACAGATGATATTATTCACCTATGTATCGAAACGATATCCGATGGACATAGTGTTCTGATCTTTTGTCCAACGAAAAATTGGTGTGAGAAACTAGCTCAACAAATTTCCGCCGCATTTTCCGTACTGGGTTTGTTCAACGATTTTAATTTTCTATCCTTCGGTATGCAATTACATAGTCAAGAATTTATATAATTTTAGGTCTAAAGGATACCCAGCTGGGTAGGATGCTAAGACAGGAATTGAATCCTGAACTGATCTCAGAAACATTGGAGCAACTGAAACGTTGCCCTACAGGATTAGATAGCGTACTACGGAACACGGTTTCATTCGGGACAGCTTTTCACCATGCTGGGCTCACGATGGACGAACGAGATGTTATAGAAGGAGCTTTCAGGTCTCTAGCTTACAGATTTCCCGCTTATCTAAGGAATTTTAACTGAATGTCGAAATCGTTTTAGGACTGGATCTTTGCGAATTCTTGTTGCAACCTCGACTTTAAGTAGCGGGGTAAATTTACCTGCTAGAAGAGTAATTATTAGATCTCCAATGTTTGGGGGCAGATTACTGGATAGTCTTACTTATAAGCAAATGATAGGACGTGCGGGTAGAATGGGGAGGGATACAGCAGGTAAAATAACATAGTAGTACGATCTAATATGTGAATAAACTGTGAAGCTATATCTCCACAGGAGAAAGCATACTTGTGTGTAAACCGAATGAACAAAAGGGAGCTGAAGCATTATTATCAGCTTCTTTGGAACCGATTGAATCCTGCCTTAATGATTCGGGACCTTTAATTAGGGCTCTCTTAGAAGCTATCGCTAGCGAAGCTGTTTATACCCCGGCGGACCTCGAATTGTATACTAAATGTACTTTAGTACATCTAAGTAACGAAAATGATTCAAAGAATCCATCGACCGAAGCAGTCAAGTTTCTAATAGATAATGAATTCTTATTGTACGTGTATCAAGTGTTCATATCTTGCGATTCTATGTATTCATTCATGCATTATAATTCTATGCAGATTGCAAAAAACCGAGGAAGGTCAGAGGTGGGTAGCTACAGCTTTTGGGAAAGCGTGTTTAACAGCCTCTGTACCACCCAGGGATGGTCTGATGTTACTTGAAGCGCTTCAAAAAGCAAGACGATGCTTTGTGTTGGATACAGAGTTACATGTTGTGTATCTGGTAACACCTCTCAATTCGGGAAGTCAAATTGGGACTATTGACTGGATGACGTTCTTCGACTTATGGAGAAAGCTACCAGAGAGCGAACGTAGGGTCGGACAACTCGTCGGTGTGGAAGAACGATTTTTAATGTCAGCTATAAGAGGCGTCGTGCGATCAGGAAAATCGGTAAATTACTTTATAGAATATTTGTAAACATATATTTTTTTATTACTAATTATGTAAAACTGTTTTTAGCTCAATATACATAAGAGATTTTATACTGCGTTAGCTTTGCATGACTTAGTCCGTGAGGTTCCACTTAATACGGTTTGTAAAAAATACAGCTGTTGCCGTGGAGTTCTTCAAAGTCTACAACAATCTGCCTCTACGTTTGCTGGTAATATTTTCTACACATAATAGGAGAATAATCCATTTGATAATGTTTGGAAATTCTGGTATCGTAACGTTATCAAAACTTCAGGAATGGTAACACAATTCTGTAAGCAGTTGGGATGGGATTGTATGGAATTATTAGTTTCGCAGTTTCAAACGCGTTTACAGTTTGGTGTCTGTAGAGAATTGTTAGATCTGTTGCGTCTTCCAATGTTAAACGGATTGCGCGCTAGAAGTCTTTACAAGCACGGAATCACATCCGTAGCTGATTTAGCTATTGCAAATGAGCTCGATGTCGAACGCGCGCTTTATAAAGCCCTCCCTTTTGAAAGGTATAATTTGAAAGTAAGATACTATCTTTAGGATTATAAGTTTTCAAGAAGTATAACATGTGTTAATATTTTAGCGAGAAGGAACAGGATGGTGAACACGAATTAGAAGCATTAAAACGAAATAAGATGAGGACGGTGTTTGTTACTGGCAAGGATGGCTTAACGCCTCACGAAGCTGCTGTTTCGCTAGTTCAAGAAGCCAGAATGTTAGTCCAGGTAAGGAATTATTGAGGCATTAAAACTAAATCTTTCTGGATTACTTAAAAATTTAATAATTTTACATATCAATACAGAACGAACTAGGATTGCAAAATGTACCGTGGAAAGAAAATGAACAGTCTGTAATTACAAATGAATCAAACACTGAAATAAACTCACGGATTCATCAATCCACGAACCGAACTATAGATAACTGTAATATACAAATGCAGATTGAAATTGCAGATAATAATTGTCAAAGTAAAATCTGTTCAGATGAGAATGACATTAAAAATAAGCATGTAAAAAGCGTGATTGAAGACGATCAGAGTATCGATAAAGACTGGAATTTGCCTGATAAAAAGAATACAGAATTGAATCACAAAGATGAAACACCTGACATGATTGATAGCGTCACTAAAAATGTTAAAAAACCCAATTCCCAAGGTGTCATTTGTACTAATAAAGAAATGAATGCATCGAGCAAATCTCATAAAGTTGAAAAATCTACAATCAGCCCAATTGTCGCGGATAATTCTGAAAAAGATAAACCTAATTTGCCGAATGAATTTCAAAATACAGTAAATAATACAGGACTTACGAATCAGTTATTGCAAATAGAAATTCCAGAATGTACAAATTCTTCGGAAGAAAAACTATCTTTTGACTTTTTCGAAGGTAGTAGTCCGAAACTGCGACATGATTCTCAACAAAAACGGGACAGTGCATCGTTAATTGATCTTACAAGTAAAAATAATTGTATTCATAATTTTACGATGAGAAAATTGAGGAACAATATTCAGAATGATCAAGATACAAATAGCATTCCTAATAAAAAGGTAAGGATTTCGAATGAGGCAAATACAGCAGGATCGCCTGGCGCGAATAAAACTACACATTTATCTATGATACCAGCTACCTCGCAAAGTCCTAGCTTATTCGATGAAAGTTTAAATCTCGATACGCAAATATGTGATATTCTCGAACAAAATATCATCGATTCCCTGCAATTTTCAGAATTTGAAGACAGTAGATCATTGCAAAAAGCAATAGTAAATAGGGAAGTGAATAACAAGTCGCAAACTAATGAACCAATTAACAGAGATATGCAACCGGAAGAGAATACGAGGGATTTAAATAAAAATACATTAGATGCAACTAATTCTCTGGCAAAAAGTAATATTCTATCTTGGAAAGATGACTCTTGGAATGAACCGAAGAAGTTAGCAGAAAAGATAAATAGACTTAAGGACAAGAATAACCAAAATATTTTAGCTGGGCCTAGTATCAGGAACATAAAAAACAAACAAAATATTATAGAGTCTGCAGGTACAAGTGATTCTACGCCAGAGATAAAAAAGAAACTCGACAGTGCATCTGAACTACCTACGGGCACTCCTGATAATATAAGAAAAATATCCCAGATCCATAGATTGAAAGACACAGCAGCAGCTAAATCACCCTTAGCGAACGTCGTTCTTTTTAACAAAAATCGTACAGCGTCATTGGATTCAAACAAATCTGATTCAGACGATATCGTCGTTGCTTCGCAAAACATGAATTCACCTCTTACAAATGTCAGACTGCGAAGTAGATTAGATTCGGAAAAGAAACAGAAGTTCCTCACGCAAAAGATACCAGATCAATTACCAGTAGATAACAAGAAACATCAGAACACAGTTTCAAAAACGATACAGATTGAAAAACGCAAAATTGAACCAACATTGAAGGACATAATTGCACACAATACATTGATTGATAAAAATTGTAGTACCGATAGCGTAATTTCAAATTCCGAAGAAGACACTCCTGTAAAATCGACGAAAATTTTACAGAAATCTAGAATGATTTTAAAAAGTACTCAGAAGGCCTATAAACAGTACGTGCAAGAAAATGAAATTATGGACACCGTGGATGAATTAACTGACTGGAATACGTTAAACATCATAAAAGTTGGGAGTGATAGGGGCACATTTAATTTATTTAAGCGTGAGGTAATACAGAAGCGATATATTGCCCTAGCTTTGAATTGTCAATTGCACAACGATGAAGCAAATGCTATAGGCACTAAGATTATTAGCTCTACTTCCGAGAAGAAAAAGAGATCGAAAAAGCCGGAAAATTACACACATATAAATAAAAAATTATGCGGTGCTGCTATTACTTGGTCAAGCAATATCGCGTATTATATTTCGTTCACAAATGAGCAAGGTACTTAAATATTATATTATTCTCGTACGTAATTGTTTTATAATTCCTACAGCGGGAAATTTTCAGATTTAAAAGTCCCAGGCAAAGAGCAAATGAAGCTACTAAAAGAATTGCTGTCAAATACATTCTTAAATGTAAAATGCTTTGCAACTAAAGACATTTTCAAAACGTTACATGAATGCTGTGGTATCACCCCAAGTTGCAAATTTTTAGACCCAAAGGTGGCAAATTGGTTGTACGATGGAAACATTCAGGATAAGACTTTTAGCGAAATAATAACAGAATATTTCCCTCAAGGATGTTTCATTTCTAAGAAGATAGGTGTATGTTACGATGTAGGGCCTGGATTACAAATCAAAAGCGCAATACCAGGAGAATTTAGAGCTTCTGCGGAGTCTGTTCTGACGTGGCACGTTACAGACTCCTTGTTGGATAAGTTAGAGGAACTAAACTCGACTTTATTATACACGTTCAAAGGTAATATATAACGCTTATTAATTACCTACTGTCTACACTTCCTTCTAAATGAATCATAAATGCATTTTTAGAAATTGAAATGAAGACGGTGACTTTACTGGCGTGTATGGAATTAAATGGTTTAGGAGTTTGTTTACAAGCGTTGCAAGATCTGTCTTCCGTTATTCGCAAGGAAATGTTGTCTTTAGAGGAACGAGGGTACAAATTAGCTGGGAGGAAATTTAATTTTGCCTCATCGAAACAAGTTGGACAAGCTTTAGGCTTGTATAAAGGGAAAAAACTAAGTGTGAATAAAGCCGTTTTGGAGCATACTGATCATCCGTTATCTACTATCGTTATGTCGTGGCGGAAGCTAAGTGCTACTCAATCGAAGGTTCATATACAAAAACGGATATACGGAATAATGTCGATGTCAAAATTACGTGAATATACATTTTCAGATTGTCTACCCAGTATTGAGTATCGCTCAACGTAGTTCTCGCATTCATGGTAACTGCGTTACGTGCACTACGACCGGAAGAATTTCGATGCACGAGCCGAATTTACAAAATGTACCGAGAGATTTCAATTCTGAGGATGACAGCTTCACGATAAGCGCACGAATGGCATTTATACCTTCACTAGGCAACATAATGTTATCTGCCGATTACTGTCAACTTGAATTAAGGATATTAGCCCATTTTTCGAAGGATCCTATTTTATGCGATATCATGCGGAGCCCGGGTGATATTTTCAAAAGCATTGCTGCGTCGTGGAATCACGTATCGGAATGTCAGGTATTGCAATTGAATGAAGTTAAATTAATAATTACGAGAGACTAATATGATCTCGTTAACAGGTCGATGATAAAATGCGCCAGCAAACGAAGCAACTATGCTACGGAATGATCTATGGTATGGGAGTAAAAACGCTCTCCGAAAATCTGTCAGTAGACGAGGAGAAAGGCAAGGAATTCTTAGATTCCTTTATGAATGCATATCCAAATATAAATAGATGGTTAAATAATGTACGAGAAGAAGCGCGTACAAATGGATACATAACGACTCTCTTGGAAAGACGGAGAATGTTTCCTGGATTAGCAAGTACTGATCCATCCGAAAAAGGTAAATATTTTATTTCATTTTCTTTCAAGATTTTGAAATACCGAACTGTATACTCTAATTTCTTTATCACTATAGCTCAAGCGGAACGTCAAGCAGTGAATACTAAAGTTCAAGGATCTGCAGCCGACATTGCTAAAAAAGCCATGGTGATTATTGAAGAAAGAATGCGTTATGAATTTCCAACTTCAGCAATTGTTATGCCTACAGTCAACCCATCTACTCGCAGACTAAGGAGTAACAGTCGAGAAGGACAGCAAAGAGGCGGTTATTTAGTATTACAACTTCATGATGAATTTCTATACGAGGCATGTATTTAATAATCTTTGTATTTTATGTACTTAAAAGACATAACTGTTTCGAATAAAATATATTATTCATAGTGTAAAATTCATTCCAGGTTAATATAAACGATTTGAGACAAGTTGCGACAATCGTAAAAGAATCAATGGAACAAGTATGCCAACTTACGGTGCCACTACCTGTAAAGCTCAAGGTTGGGCCTGCATGGGGAGATCTTTCTCAATATACTATTTGTTGATCGATGAAGTTATTATACATATACGTGTTAATTTTACACTTTTACAAATTAATTTGATCAATCAGTGGTGATTTATACTATGTAAAATAATTTCGCAATTTTATACACATCTGCGTACGTTTACAATAATTGGAATTGTACATATACAAAACTATTTTATACTATGATATAAAATTGTATACTGATCAATGATTGTACGTTGAAGGAATAAACAAATTATTTTATTTTACAGACATGATTGTTAAAATAAAAAATGATTGATTATCCTAAATCTAGCATAATATGTAGGAGACCTTTATAACGATTTCTTATAATAAAATGCACACATGATCCTATAATGTGCCATTGAATTGTACAATTAATTTAAAAATCGCTTGTCCTTTCTTTCCAAATTCCTATCACACATGCAATGAAACTTTTAAATATAACGATTTATTACACAAACATATCTCTTAGATTGTATCACAGGGAGGTGCAAGTGACTGATGTAATTTCGTTACTGCAGTTTGTACTATTTGTTGAAAAGTCTCATCCTCTTTACAAGTTACTTCCAAATTTAACAAATCTATATGTGCTTTCTTCCCATCAACTGTCACATATAGTTTCTCCCCTTTGAAAATCTTGGGAACAGAATCCTCTCCAAACATTTCTTGAAGCATTTCTATCAAGCACTCTTTGAAATGCATCCTGTCCATTTTCGTGGGCGCAGGCAGTACTTTCGGTAGCTGTTCCATCATTTCGGCTTGCAGTATCGCGGTCAAAACGGAGTCTGCATACATGTCGTTTACAGGCGTTGCAATCCATTCGATAGTTACAATTTTCCCATCAATGGTGACATCGACGTTCTTAAAAATACGTAGCTTCTTGTCATCTATCATCTCCAGATTTCCGGCGATTTGTGTCAGAAGATGTTTTAATACTGGCAACGCTGCTGAAAAATGCACGCTCTGCCTTTGAATAACTTGGCTCATGCTCATATCTGTATACTTGGATAAATCGCAAGGTGCCAGCATGTGGTAATTGAAGTTCCTCTTAACTAAAACTCCAGATAATGTTTGACCAGTTTTTGGTGTTTCCATCGCCAACGTTCCCATTACTTTTGCTGTTTTCTCTCCTCTAAAATACAGTTCTACGGCAACTGTATTTCTAGGATTGTGTATCTCCATCGTTGTGTTCGGATCGTCTTCGTATTCCCTTTGTAAAGCGGCTTTCAATCTTCCCATTTCATTTTGTTCTCCATGTACGAGTACAACATGAGGTGGTTTCAAAATACGTATGAATTCTGATGTTTGTTGATAGTCTGTATGCGCTGAGAATGATATATAATCGACGGACATCTTCAGTGGTAACTTCTGACCACTCATCGTTGTAATCTCTTCAGGTTCCGATAAAATAGTTTTCGCTAGTGTTCCTTCCACGCAGTAACCAGCAATTATGACTCCATTTTTAGCATCAGTGCACCAAGATTCGAATAATTCTCGCGATAAACCGCTTTGCATCATACCTGGAGAAGCCATCACTACACATGGCCCAATATCTTCAAAATGATCGATTCCTTTCAGATTCGAGATATGTTTAAACACGAAAGGATTGTTAATAGCTATCTGTCTTCTAATCTTGTCGTTCATCGCGTTCACGTAAGTTTGATAAACGGCCATGCACTTCTTCGCTAATGAGGAAGCATAATATATGGGAATTTCATGAAGTTCTGGATGCTGGCTCCAGTATTCATCTAAAATAAGGAGAAGTTCTTGTGCTCTACCTAATGCGAACACTGGTATTAAGCACCTCCCACCCCTGTTAACAATTTCATGGACTAAATTTGTGAATCTTCCTTCACGATCTTCTCTCTTTTCATGTATGTGCGTCCCGTAGGTAGATTCAGTGATTAAAACGTCCGGATGAATATTCGGAATTTCTGCAGCCATCAAATGCCTGTCCTCTTGACGACTGAAGTCTCCAGTATACAAAATCTTAACACCCGCTATTTCTATCATAAACATAGCAGCTCCTAACACATGGCCAGCATTGTAGGCCCAAAATTTGATTCCAAAGACATCTTTTTCTTCATGGAAGTTGATAGTTTCTATTTTATCCATGCTTGTCTCCAGATCAGATTCAGTATACAACATTTGCTCTGTTGCAATGTTGCTTACTTTGATGTAATCAGACAAGAGCCAGCGATAAATAGCTTTGGTGGCATGAGTCATGAAGCATCTTCCCTTGAAACTTGTCTTTTGCAAGAACCAAGGCAAAGCTCCGCAATGATCCAAATGAAAATGAGAAATCAGTAGCAGATCAATCTCATCTGCTTCTACTAAATCCACAAATGGCAGTGCGTCCATGCCAGATAAGCCAGGATGAATGCCACAATCTAACATTATCTTCTTTCCTTTGAATTCTAGCATGATGCATGATCTGCCTACTTCTTGGCCAGCTCCAAGTGGCCTAATTGATAATAGGTCACTCTCTTCGGCTGGGATTTGTGTCTCAGGCTTCCTTTTCACAGACATTTTTCACAAATATTTCGTACGATGTTTTCCAATTGTTGATTCTGTTTTCACAATGTTTCACTATATATAACAAACGTATGAATGTATTTCATTATTATGTCAAAGAGAAAAATGAATCTCCAGTAACTGCATGTGTTTGTCCAAGAAATATGTACCCTTAGAGGTTAACCAGTTCACCGTTCAAACCAACGGTCAAAATGTATAAATTAATTAAAATACAATCAACCTCTATTTCTTAACGCTTTATATCTTTTTTTAATAGTACGATTTTTTAATATCACATTCTTCGATTTTATTGTGACAGCTTATAACCTACACGATTGTATATGTACAAATCAATTCAATGCAGAATTTCAAGTACTGTACAATGCTGCGTACGAAAGTGTGAGTATAAAAATTCATGTAATATTACTGTCCCTAAGCATAATCGTATATACGTGTACATGCATTTTGCTATTACTAATTTTAGTCTATATTGCAATCATAATTAATAATTAACTATTTGATAAAAGTATAGACTAGAATTATTCAAATTATGCTTTTTCTCTCCTGTTCCATTTAGGTTAAAGAGTTTTTAAATAACTCTGCTAGTTTTTTGAAAATAGAATCGATAGAATATTTCCAGTGTGCAACATTTGTTGGCATAAAAAAATTATGGTGTTGATCAAATTTAATAGATTTCAAGTATACTATTTAACGTTAGTGTACGTGTAACGTGCGTATGTATATGTACACACGGTCGTATTATAATGTGCATGCATATATGCGACGTATGCATACATATATGTAAATATCAAATGCGGTAATTTGCAGTTTATAGATAAAACTGCAGGGAATTGCATCGGATATAATTCAATATTATTAAAAGTAGAACGAAATCGTCTCGTTGTTAAGAATTGTAGGAAGTTTTTAAAGTCCCAATTCTTAATAGATATGCATAAAACGCGAATTTTATCGATAATGGTTATGTTTAATTGCAACAAACCATGTTTGGAATAAATGCGAAGAGAATTATAAAGCAATAACTTTAATATGTATCTTTGTTCCTACCCACTATATAACATTGTGTGTTCCTACCTTAACAATCGGCGAACCAACGTTTCCATGTCTTCGGGTTGAAAATACACAGAATCCGAAATATGCACTTGACGACTCACGAAAACGGACAGCTCACAAAAACTGTATCACACACGAAAGATTATTTTAATTAAGAAATCACTTAAATTATTCGATTTTTATTCGCGGCACAAACAATACACACGGTATTCGAATTTCAACTACGCACTGTAGCAACATTGCGTATATATGTACGATACAGTAGGTTCGATTCTAAGGCGCCAAAATACAAATTCATCGTGAGAAACGATATTAACCTATTGGCATGATATAATCTAGCAAACGATCTGTATATGTACGACTGTGTGATATGTTTTTACGATTTTTGTTAGTTTAAACGTATTTTGTAGAGAATATATGTGAAATTGGATGTAACATACCTGTAGACTAGTTGATCATGTTCGAATCACATTTTTACCCAGACTCCTAGGTTAATCTTGCCTGATTAACAGATTTCCATTACATGCGCATACGGGATCACTTAGTAAGTATTAATCTTATTGATTGTAACGAAATCACGATTCATCTTCATTAATACAGAAAAGAATGATCATAGAACGATCTACTAACACTTGAACATGCAACGCACACAACGAACTCTAATTCAATATGGTAGCGAACGCTAGCGACCGTGCGACAAGCAGCACCATTTACAAAAGCGCGCTCCAATTAAATCGAAATAATACACATTAGTCTCGGAACAAATAGGAATTTAAATTTATTAATAATTTATACGATCACACATGTATGCATTTGTTTCAATATTTTTGTACTAAGAATTCAAGTAGTCAATTCATTTTTGGACAATTCAAATGAACGATAATGAAACATGATTATACGAAAGGTCATAAAATTCTCTTTTCCATTGCTAAAGATTTTTATTCAATACTATAATTTTGTTAAATACTTGTATACAATTAGTATTTAAAGGAACGCTCGACGTATAAATTCATTGTCGATAAATAGTTCAAATCAGCAACTGACCTTTCGACGATATCATTTGTACGCGGGTACGTTTAAGCTATCAATTATTCGTCACACAGTAGTTTAACAAGGTGGGCTGTAGATTGCATTTTATAGCTTAACAGATTCTTACTCGCGACAATTATTACCGAACAGCTGTAACTGTCGAGTAACGGCATTCGAGTTCGCTCGATCTCAGGAGTCAAGTCCACGCTTCGATATGAGTACGTAAGACACAACTGGCTCGCCGCAATATTTATAGAATCTAATTTTTGCTCTAGTGTACACTTCACATTTCGTCCAACAACAGCCTTGTTTTTGATTACATAATTATTCCCATTCTCTACCTCTGGCTGATACAAATCGTACGTGGTGTTACTTAACGTTCAACTGTCATAGGCTTACACTGTACTCATTTAAGCACGTTGTCTAACTTCTGTTATTGTGTCAATCGATTTGTTTATAATAATATTTTTTGGACAATATAAAACGAACACATTTTAAGAATATTTACTATTGCTTTCGTTTTCTGATGCAACACTTTCTCACGTGTTTCACCACTATCTCAAACAAATATTTAAATTAATTCTATAACAGTACGTGTTCACATATATTCTGGACGAATATCTATAGTACATAAGATTTAAATTTGTAAATTCTGTTTGCTTGGTTGTTCTTCATTCTTCAATAGGTACTTAGTTCGACAGGATTTTTATCAAGTCTCAAGTAGATAACGATATCTACGTATCAATAATGATTTTATCTACTCACATAAGTGTATCGTTCAACAAGATTATCGTTCGTGTAATTCTAAATATATTTTACCTGTTATTCGACACACCTCATTCATCACACTTTCACCTTTTCGTAAACATTAAGTTTTTCACAATAGATCATTTCACATTCAAACAATTTATATTAAGACTTAAAAAGAAATTCTGACGTTAACATACGCATTACAATATTTTATTAGTTTATCATTAACCGAATTATCAATTTATTTTTGTATACATTCTTGTTACGATTGAGTAAGATTAATTTACAATGTATATATACATACTATATGTATACATATATGTATATATATATATATAGTCAGTGGAAACAACCAGTGAAGCAACTGGAATGATAAAAGACACGAGTAGCTGACAGTCCACTCGCTTCATTTAAAAATAGTTCCAGTTACGGTCTCTACGGTGAAGCCATTCGGCGTAGCTATTTTAAATTTTACGTCTTAGTTATCTATTTTTTCCTCTAATATGTCTCGCGCTCAATTACTCACAATAGTAACTATTCTTATGATAGGTTTATATTTTCAAGTGGCGAACACGGAGCTTGAAGTAGAACTGGTACAGGTGGTGAGTACAATTTTCTCTAATTATGTCACTTAGTATCAGCCTAAATGAATTAACGAATATGAATGAAGAATTCATTCATCGCGCATTTATTTTTATTTTTGATTCCTCTTATCAGAATTTGTTTGACCTTTCACGATTATGTATTTGAACTTCACGATTAATGGCGCACTATGTTCAAATATAATTTTTACACATGTGTAGAATAGAAAAGTAATGATGTAGGGATACAGATAAAGGATTTCGATATCGATATTTAGCGTTTCTCTTCGTAATTTTTTAATTTCATCAGCTATTCAGACATGGAGAAAGAACACCGCGTATAAAAGAAATGTGGCCGACCGATACGTTGAATGAAACCGCTTACGAGCCATGGGGTCTTGCTCAACTGACGAACGTAAGCAGTAATTATTGCCACATAACGCGGATGATGCGTACGTCGGAAAAACAAGTGAGTCATGGTAATTTATTTCCAGGAAGGAAAAATGAGGGAGTATCGGATAGGAAAGATGTTGAGAGAACGGTATGATCAATTTCTGGGACGCATATATCATCCTTCCGACGTCTACGCTTACAGTTCGGATCACGACCGGACGAAAATGTCTCTTCAATTAGTATTGGCTGGTCTCTATCATCCGACTGAAATGCAAATGTGGAACGCGAATTTGTCTTGGATGCCTATACCAACGTATTATATGCCAGAGAAAATTGACGATTTAATGAAACCAGATCTCTCTCCGTTGTGAGCACTTTCATTAATGATCCAAATCGATGGGAAATATTCGAAGAAATATCGTTTTTTTAGATGTATTTGTATTGCGTTAATTTTCGCAGATACCTCGAGGCAGTGGATGAAGTACGAAATTCCGAGGAAATTCTTAAAATAGTATCGCCTTACAATAAACTGTTTAAGTATCTTAGTGAAAAAACCGGTTTGAATATAACGAAAACAAATCAAGGATATGAAATATATAATCAACTTGTAGCGCGGGTACTTGTTAGAAAGTGCACGTTATAATAAACAGCTCCTGTGAATTTGAATTAATAAAAGTAATTTCGTAGAAAACTATGAATCTACCGATGCCTGAGTGGTGTACCGATGAAATATATGAAAAACTTCAAGATATCGTAAAGATCGAATATACCATTCGCTCGCACACGCCTTTTTTGAAACGATTGAACGGCGGCGCTATTATTAAAAGGTTCATTGAGAACATTAAAGTGAATGAGGAGCGTGAAAGGCCAAGGAAGATTTATCTCTACAGTGGACACGAAGTGAACATCGCTGCTGTTGCAAAATTGTTCAATTTTACGGAACCCCAAATACCCCCGTACGGGTGTGCGATTATATGCGAGAAATTGAAAGATCAGGACGGCAAGCATTATATCAGGGTAATAATTTATGGCAATTTATCAGCGTAATATGTAGTATTATGTTATGCAAATGATTATTGGAATTCCAATGAAATGTTATCATTCGAAGTACGGTCGAACGTTGATATTAGCTGCATGAACGGGGCTATCTTTACGATGTATAAAAACGTTTATTTTTTACAGATTAAGACTGAAAGATCTGTGTGTTTGAATGGGTAACTATTTAATTATATTATTTCGCTTTTCAGATACTGCTTTGGGGAGATGAGAAGTTAGACACTTATAGAATAGATGGATGCGAAGAAATTTGTCCAATGGAAAAATTCCTAGATGTCGTAAAGGACATGCTTCCTACTGATCAAGAATTTAATCACAAATGGGATTATATATCGAAAGAAGAATTAAAAGAATTGTACGAGGAAAGAATGAATTTAAATTAAATGTTAACTATTACCATATTTGAGAATTAAATTTTTATAGTTGCGCTAAAATAAATCAGAGCAATTTATTTTTGAAGAGGTGAGAAAATAGAGCTTATTGTAAGGTGCATTACGGTATGATAATACCTACATACATATATTTATAGAAATATTTATTATGTATGAAAATGAAAATATATTTTATGTATTCGAACTAATATTTTTTCATTTAAAGAATCCTTACTGTCACTCTTTAATAGTATCTTTATAGTATATCTATTTCATTCGTGTTTTCAAATACGAGTTAGTATCAGTCGATGGAAGTATGGAATACGTGGTATGCAACTGGTGGTAGTCTTACCAACAAGCAGTAAAATGCGTATCAAGCTCTTTTTGACGAAATAATCTCAATCCACTAATGATATCAAAATATGTCAATAATTTCTTCAGAGCTTTTTTAAAAATTTACATGTATATATTATACATATATTTATTAGTTTTACTCAGCAATACATTTATGATTTAAAATATTTTTAGTGCAAAATGTTGGAAGTTCAGAGTGCATAATTTCTCCGGTTAGAAAGATTTACATCCGTATTTACGTTTTCGCTCTACCCGGGGGAGATCGCGAGCCATCGACTCGCGGGGCCTAAGCTCGAGCGCAACGTCGGCTTAACTACAAATGATCATAATACATACAAACAAGCGCAAACGAGCGTTTGAGCGGTATAGAATAGTCAGAATTGTCATTAAGCCCCGAGGATGGTCCCCCGATGGGACTCGTGGGATCTCCCGGTTGCGTCTCTCTACATGCACGCGCCTCCACCGTTCGACCGAATCCAGTCACACCGACGTGCGCGAACGCACACCAAGGCATCTTTCGATTCCCTCGATTCTTGCGTTCGACCCCGACAGATCTGATATCATCCACCGCTATCCCCTGGGCTCTCACTCATCTGCCGACAAAAGAGCATCTGCGCCGATCCGATCTGTAATGCTGCTGCAACCTGTTCACAAGTAGCTTGGCCCCGTGCACAGCATGAATTCATTATCAGTCTAGTATAAACATATTGCCACTGGAATCGTGAACGGGGAGCCGCTGTCAGTGGCGGAAGCTACGTGCCACCAATCCGGCTGGTGGCTCCTATCTATTATCCGTTCTACCCCCGGGGCCCTCCTATCCGTTCCACGGCTTACCATTCTTTCATACGTCAATCAGCTTATGGAAAATTGTGATTTAGTCAATTTCAGCCGGGCTGAGATCCGTTACTGATGTCTGGTGAAAGATAGTTAAGTACGAGTCTATGGTTTACGAGAGGATGAGTCGTCGATTGGAATGTAGGGTGGTTTTTGAAGCATTTTGATTTAATTCAGTAGAATACTTGTATGTTCAAGATATAAGGGAATAAAAGTCATTATTACTATACAAGTGATTTTCTTTCATTACGGAACAGCTATTATATCAGTACGTCTAACATAATGTCTGTGTTTCAATGATCGCTGATTTGTTCTGTCCGTTATACTTTCGGTGCGTTAAAACTTTTCTCTTGTCAAACGTTGGTCACCCTTTAAAACACTCACCCCTCATCGTGAAAACACGATGACAGCTGCCAATCAGTTACAAGCCCCTAGCCACATCCAAAATTCTTGTTCTCCAAATATTCTTACTTTTCCAACTATAAAACGAATGATCGTAAATATAGTCTGTTAAATGATTTATAAAATATGAATGCGTCTCTTCTATTCATGTCACGATTATAATATTAAAAATAATAATCAAGCCACGATAACTATTACGATACATGAACAGATAAGAATTTTTTGTAATTGTTATGCCAATTCTCGTTCAGGATTTCACCTACTAACTGAGAGATTAATTGAACTTAAAAGTAACACGTTAATTGGGATTGAGATTTGAAGATAATTCAATAATTGTCCTGACATTTCTGGCAATTGTTTTTAAAACGGCGGGTCTCTTGTTACGGGAATCCTGTAAGCAAGTCGTTTACCTATTTTTCGGCCGAGGCTCATGGATAATAAATTTTCACCGCGATTCGGTGCCGGAGAATCAAAGTAGCATCGTTGCCCGGAAAAATTGTTGCCAGACGTGGCTAATATAGCGAGGCGTACACGTACGCGGGCATAAAAGGTAACACACGTGTATGTGGTCAATGGCGGGCTGGCTGTGTATGCAGGAATTGCGGTGGCAGGTGACGGCGTGTTGTGAGCTGCATAATGAATAATGCCAAAGCCGAACCACAAGCCGTTCCTGTCCTTCCACTTGGCTGACTGAATGACAGCCAGTCTAGGAAAAACCGCTGATTGGCTGTACATGTTCCTGGCTCTCGTGCCTGTCACATTCTCTGTGTCTACCTATGCGGGGGTTCGATCGAAATCAAGCTGCACGTCGAGACTGATTTTCGTGTTCCCGGCGAATTCATTTGACTCCTTTGCTTATTTGCCAATGTCGTACTTACGTTGCACCGCGAGTCAGGTTGCCGCGTTGCCTTATGGACGTAGCTCAGTGAGAAGATTAAAGAACGCATGGCAAGTTCTATAGAATTTGAACGTTTCAACGCGTCATAGTTCACGAAACGATCGTATTAGTAATAGGTCGAAGAGGAAATGAAAATGTGAGAGTTTTTATCGGACGAGTATGTAAATTCTGTCGTCTCAAATTTACACGCAGAATGAATGTATAAAATGCAATAAGATATTTATAAACAAAGGTGCAAGCAACGTGCGCGGTGTTTCTAAAGTTTTCCTAGCACTTTCGCGTATATGGTGCCACATCTGAAGCTGTATGGCCGATGTGATGTTGTTACTGCCACGATATAAATTATAATTAGCGGAGCCCGTAATACCCTTTGAATAAATAATCAACGAGTAGCGGCAACTACCCGTACGCTCGCCTCCATTTAAGTCAAGGTCTCGGAACTCATTTCTTGTCACACCTTTATGATCCCGTTAAACAGAAATTTACACAGCGGCTGCACCTCGGAAACCGAATAACTGCATACGCCAATTACGTGAAGAGCGATGATATTCTTTGCGTACAATCAAATTTCTGTCAATACGTTATTGATATATTGAAAGCATTGACTTTCCAATTTCAGAATCACAATTTTAATATAGATTTTTCTCGTTGAAATACATTTTGTTCCTGACAACGAACATTTTCTAGGTGCCTAATTATTTATTTATCGGAAACTCATAGAAAATGAATGCCCGTAATTTTAAACACAAATTCAAGGTATTGAAATACGCGAGTGAGACTTGTCTGAAAGGACACTGTGAATTCTGGCTTGCAACCCTCCGATAACCGTGACGGTGCTCGGAGAATCGAAAACTACTTTAAAGTAATTAGAGGATTGTCAACCCATCCCAACCCATTGCCTGTTCCCATTAGGGATGTTCTTCGAGTGCAGATTCGAGTGGGATGAACGTGGAAAATCCCAGCCCGTACCCTCCCGCATCAGAAATCAGACTAAAATTCCAGCTGGATATCATTTTAAGCGGTGTATAAGGTATTCGATCAATCCTTACTGTACATGTAGAATTCGTGATACGTATATTGGAGAAGTATATGACTTTTATATGAAAGGAAAAGTTTGTTTATTTTTTACGTATAATGGAAAGAAAATTTTTGCACATGCGTCTCGCTGACACTTTTAATGTCCGATTGTAAAATGTATTAATAAACTATAAGTAGAAGAACTGTAGCTGATAAATAATTCTGAAGATAAATACTTAGTGTAACAAAATAATGCATCGTACCTAAAAATGTCCTGCCTTCCACATTACTATTAAAAGCAACATGAATGTTTCATACGTAAACTCATAACGGAATTCGATAGCTATTCTATTCTTCAGACAACTTTTAATTATTCTTTTGAGCAAATTTAAAATATCTTACGCTTCTTATAGACTTTCTGAAACGTTTCAATTCGAGCTTTAGGGACTTAATGAAATCTGATTGCCGGGAGAATCGAATTGCGAGTAAGTATAATTAGAAATAGCGGTTTGAAAAATTTGTTCCCGTTTCTCGTACCCGGAAAAAACCGGTCGATATCCCTAACGGAATTTTCCAATACCCTTTGTCTGGCACCGGTAACAAACGGCGGACGGTTTCCAAAAGGACTGTCCGGGACTGCTCTTTCTTTGGTATTCGTCGAATTCGAAATAGTACCGCGGTCTCAGTTTCGTAGAACGATCCTTGCACGCAAATTGGGTTCAACGTGAATACTTAATGCGAAACTGTGGTCGAGCAGGAGTCAAGGTGCAGTGATGGGAGACAGAGAGGAAAAGGTCGTTTGGCGTCCGTTCGAGGTGCCAACTTAGTTAGATCGCCTAACCGGAGACTTCGCACGGTATACCATGCGACATATCATCGACATTTTCTTCGCTTCGCTGCACCGTCCGAAAATTTTATTACGAGAGACTAGAAATAATTCTGTATGTTCGATGATTAAACGATCCCTAAGGATTGAACAAAAACAGTGATGAAATTTTTAGTATTGTACCGGACTGAATTAATTAAAAATAATGTTGACAGCAGTGGCGTATAAAAGCGTGCGCGTAAGTTGAGCCCCGGGGGAATAAAGGAAGTCGGTTTCATTGGAATAATATACGTACGGTGAGGCATAATGTATAGAAGTAAAGAAAACTTTGTGTTTGATTTTATGGCAACATCCTTTTATCGGACGAGATACTGAAGGCACATCTCACATATTAAAGCAGATCCTGTTTCTAAACCCACGCGATCCGTATTCCGGCGAAATCAGAAGAATATACGATGTAAATGGTCCTTGTTATTTGATAGGAAGTACGTTGCTCTCTAAGTGAATTACAAATTGGAAATTGCAAATGTACCGAGTACAGAGCTCTTTTAAATCCAAAGAATTTCTTCGAATCAAACGGATATGTCAGCATTATAGAACCATTAAAGAATATTTAAATCTCTCGGCGACGAGGAGCGCGTGGAAAAACTGGACCGTGGTCAATAGTCGCGTCTCGCTTTGACGACGTACGCGTCCTTT